TAGTTAGCAACTGATATTACAATAAAATTTCTAATTTAATTATTACAAAATATCTACAACTAAATTTGAAAACCTTATTGCGCTACAACATTATTGATACAATCAGTTCATCCGGGACAAAAGCACGAGGGCTCTTTAAACATCAATGGGACAATATAATTAACAATATAGAAAAGTTTTTGATGTCTCCAGATACAACTCTTCTATCTTCAGATTTCGACTCCGTTTCAGCTTCAGCTAATCAAGATATGGAACAAGATGGACGAGCGGATGACATCAGTCAATATTTAACAAAAATATTGAAAAATGTAGTAAGTGGATGTTAGTAGAATTTGATTTGCTTCTGGTTCTTTATATTTATGTTTATTTTATCAGAACACCGCAAAAAAATTATGCGATGCGATAATGACAGAACGTGAAAAGTTACGCGCAGAGGGAAATACGAAATGGAAGAAGCGGTCTCTGGAGTTGGTGAAAATATTGTAAATATCCTGAGTGGTTCTGTATTGTAATCTGATTTGTGCTAACATTGAATTCGTTGAACTTCTGTGTTATCATAGCCGGGAACAGTTCCCAGATGGCAGGAACCTCTTCAAAGAAGAACAAACCGAATACGATTATATTATCAAGTTTGTCTCTCGCGTCTATATAATGTTGTTCAAAGATAGAACACTTTTGAAATGTAACTGGTAAGTTAAAATAGCTTTGATGTGTTAGGTAATTTTTTTTTTCATACCCGTTAGACATTATACTCAGTTTATGTTTAAATAGGGGTGAAAAGACCTTGCGTTGTTCCGCAATTCTACTCAACCGTTCACTAAAAGATGATGATAGAAGGTGTTCCGGGAATAAGATAGATGCAATTATGTCAATTTTGGATATTGGCTTAGAATTCTCGACTTTAGAAGTCTCTGGAAGTCCATCAAAACCTGAACATACTCACTTTGCTGGGGATCGGAATAAAACAGCGAAGATGCTCAAAATCATCTTGAATTATATATACATCAAATACCCAGGCGACTTCGAAAAATTTAGAAGAATAAAAGTGTATGGTGTACAAATTTACGGTAAATTTCATGAACTGAATAGATAAATTTATTACGATGTGTACTTATGTTTTTTCATTCATAAATTTTTGTAGATCATAACTTATATATATATAGTATGTGCATGCCATTTGCTGGAATTTACTATTTTAAACTTGAGAATATGTTCTCCTATCCAACAATTACATTCTTGATTTTCAAAGAGTTGCCAATTTTCGCTTCAAACCTATGGATGTTGCGGGTAAGTGTTTTTCACAAGCTATTTTGTACAACATACAGTGGTAGTATGGTACTAATGTAGCTGATGTTTTGATATTAGGACTTGATTACTTCAAGTTTTAATAGTATATTGACGTACATTACAAGTAATCCTTTGCAAATTGATAATGATAATATCATGATTGCAAATGTAGAAATCTCACCTCAAAAGAAGAAACATAATTAATTAATTTTGAATATTAAAAAATTAATATATATACTTTTATCTGTAATAAATCATTTGTTTTACGAAGAAAAAAACATATATGTATGCTATTAATTAATATACTACTGCAATTTTTCTTGCCAAAAGTGACTACCTACTTCTTGGCTTTGAACAAATAATTGTGAGAAGGCAGAACTACATTGTAAAAAATTATGTAAAAAATGATGAGGTTATTAGATTCCTTCTTTATTTATAAAAATTATTGCTGAGATAACAATATACAAATAAAGAATATATATATTGCTGTTACAGATGTGAATACAAATAAAAATTATTTTTTTGATAAGAGTACATAAATATAAACCTTATCAGAAAAACTAGTAGAAAAGGTTTCAAAAATTTTATACATTAGTTTAATAATATGATCACTAAAGGATAGAAAAAAACAGATTTTAGTAAAAGGAATAGAATTGAAAAAGGATGTCAAACAGTTTTTTACTATATTTTTGATCAATTCATATTTTTTATTATTAGAAATCTCAATTGTAAAAATTTTATCTTTGAAGTATGTTTTATTATTATCATTAAGAAAGACACAGTTAAGATTAATAATTGCTATTTTGAAGGAACTTGCAATAAATAAAATTTTATAGTTACTAAAAAGTAATTTTAAAAATAAAAAACCTAATAATATACAATAACTAAACCTTAGAAGATTGAACTTTTTAAAGAAAAAATACAAAAAAAAATAATATATTGTTTATCTATCTTATAGAGCAAAAACTGTTTATTTTATAGTTACAAAGTAATAAAATCTAATTCATTAATCTAAAAACCTGTTATAAAAGAAGGTATATGATTAACAATTATCTTATCTTAACACAATACCAGATTCTACTATGTAAAGTAACTCTGTTTTAGTTATAAGTTCTAAATACTGAATTTATTTTGTTATTTTTTTAGATAAATTAAACTCTTTTTAAATTTGATAATTATATACAAAAGTTAAAAAGGCTAGATTTTAACAATCTCAGAATATAATAGAAATTACAAGTTTCTATAACATATGAATTTTAATAACATTTTGATAAAGAATGTTATACTTATCCTTCTTATAGTCTTTTTAAGTCTTATTTGTGTTTTTCTTATTATGTAATCATATATAATAAGAAAAAGTTATATAATTTATTTATAAGTAATATTTATTTTAATGTAAAAAAATAATTATATGATAAAGTATTACAAAGCACATGTCTGATTTTGTGTGACTTGTATTACTGTTTTATCTATGTAACAATTAGGAAATATTAACATTTAATTACATTAAATTCATATATGTAATTAGAGAATAATTAGAAAATGTTAATAATTAATTATATAAAATCCATATATGTAATCACAGAATAATTATAAAATAAATATAAGTGATAAGAATCACAACTTTATATCTTGTATCAACTCCACATAGTAAATTTTAACTAAGTTACTATTGAAGTGCTGTTGGCTTTTTTCTAGTAAATATATATAAAATTGCTAAGTCATTATTAAAACACTGTTAATAAGATTGTTGTA